TGGAACGCATTAAACAGGTTTCAATGCATTCCAATAGGGAAATGCTTTTCACTAGACACTGATGTCACTAAACAGCGATTTCAGTGGAACGGATTATCATCGTCTAGTGAGGCACCACTGTATTCAATAGGTTAATATGGTCAGACTGAGACAGTGTAAAGGGAGATAGCTGAAAAATAACATTTGGATAATATGGATTCCATGTGAGAAAGTTAAAAAGAAATCTCGATGGAAATGTGAGTCTGGAGTCTGTGATACCATTCTGAAGCATGCTTACCCAGAGTGGAGTTGGAATATTTCAAGGATAAGAGTTGGCTCTGTGATGGCGACTCTATCATACATTTTCAGATTTAGCCCAAGAGGCTCATTGTGGTATAGTCTTTTACTGTGACTGGGTATAGAGTCAGGTCAGATTCTCCCCTCATCCATAATTCACATTCATGATGGCCTTCAACAACTACAGCATATTTTTTTCTTTGAAAAAGAACTGAAAAGATGGCTATAGGGACAAAAATGTGTGCTGTCTTAAGTCTCTTGGGTTAGATTTTGGAGGAATTTAAATAAAATGACAACAAAAACTCTTCTGGCACCATAAATACTAAAGACTAAAACCAGTTAAAGTGTACCCATTACATCAGTGGGATTTACATAAGTGGTGACTTGACAGATCTCATTTATTTAGTGGACTTCCTCTAATTCAGACTAACAATTCAGTTTAGTTCTGACAAGTTTTATCTAAAACAAGCCTTTATAGCCTGGAGCCCACTTTTATCAGATGCATAGAGTGTTGACTAAGTTGGCAGATATTTATGTACATAATAAGGGAAAGGGCTATGTGGTGGAATAGAAATACAATACATACAAACATTGATTATCTTAGCAGCAGTTGTTCTAACAGTAGTTGAGAAGTGACAAAGATCTTCCAATTTAGATAAACAGATTAATGAATGCATGGTGATAAACAAATCTTTATCCACATGTATGTGATACAATTTAACTATCTCTTATGGCTGGGGAATTATAACAGAAAGGCCAATGAGAACAAACATACAGAAATTAAAGGCAGTTAAAATTGCCTGAACAGCAATAATTAATCAAGCAAACTTTAGGTAGTAATATCTTTGCATAGATAAGCTGATGAATACCTATAGTAAGTTATAAAGGCTTTGCTTGTTTCAAGCCAAAGAGGATAGAATTCTAGATGAATATTTGTTTAGTTATTTGTGGTATAGATCAGAAGTTCTTATGACCATCTTAAAAGTGAGTGCTTATGACCATTCATCTTAAAAGTGAGAGCCGCTGCTTCCTGGTAATTGAAACGCTTTCACATGTACCACATTTACCTTTTGGCTTGTCAAAGGCCACTTTTAGGAACCAGTGCACAGTGTGCAATATCCAAGCTTGTATGGTCCAAAGACAGTTTGCACAAGAGAGCTTTCCCTTTTTCGTGTACCTTATGGAAATCCTCTCCAGATAGTCCAGGGGGCCTACTAAATATTATAGCCTATACTGTATATTAAAAGGTGCGGAATTGCCATTCCTCACTTAGTCACATGAGACATAGCCCACAATGTTCAGTAGGTTCCCCTCACAGTATTTTGGGAATGCTTTTGGGCCAAGGGAACACAGAAAGCAGAGAGAGCCTTTAAGGCAGTGTGTGAAGGGGCAGGCAAAATTCATTGCATAAGCTTGGCTTCCATTGCCTTAACATGGAACATGTTCCATACTATGGAACATTGGCTCCTAGAATGCTTATGGTAGGACAGAAAAATATTCCAGATGTCTTTTCCAAAATGCCTAGAAATGAGAAGCTGGTGCCTGTGAATTTGATTTGTTTTTCAGCCTGGTGGAAAACTGACACATAATAATTTTCCAGATCTGGGACTCTACTGAGTTCCTTTTTCAAAAGGTTTTGCTTTTATTTACTTCCTACCAGCCCTTAAACAAGTAAGAATGAAAGACTGGAAGTGTGGAAATAATTAATTTTCCCTCTTATATTCTTTATTCCTATTTTGAGATTTTATATTTCAGACTGCAGACATATTAAGCTCCAAAGTGTTTAAAAAACTGGCCAAAATACACCTGTGCAATAGGAATGATGTCATCAATAGTAGCAAATTGCTGCTGATTAAAGATGTCCTCCCCCCCCAACTTCGGGGCATGTCTGGCTTGCACATAACGAAACAAAGTCATGTGCACCCTGAAAGTGAAAAGGAAAATCTTTAATCAGTGGAAAATCTTTAATCTGCTGCTAAAAATCCTGTCTATAGTAATTTTTTATGACAAAGTTATAATTTGAAGAATAGTTTGAAATTTAGGATTTCAGTAATCTATTCTGCTTTTCTCCTATATTTCAGTTCTGTGCTAGACTGTTGTGATGAAACAGAGTACAGATAGCAAAAACTGGTTTTAGACTTTTAAAACATTTCTTTCAAATATTTTAGCATGGTGTAGCACACACTTGTCTTTTATAAGAAAACAACAACTGGACACCTGGAATTCACAATGAACATCAGGAACTTAAAAAAATATTTTATTGTATTTTTTCTACTTTTCTATCCGTTGCAGCCAGAGTGATTTATTACAATATGTTCCATTCATTTAATCTTGTCATATACTCTCTAACATAATATTAATCAAGAACTTTTGGTAAAATACTGAAAGTGGGCAAAACTTAACACCATAATTATGGATTGAAGAGACCCAGGAAGAATTGTGTATGCTGCTTAGTTGAAATAAACTCCACTGAGCAGGATGAAATTTACACCTGAGTAAGCCTGCCTAGATCAGGCTATGCCCATCTTATTTTATGACTTCACTAATAAGATACGTTGTTTGATTTTAATTATTGCATGCTTGCTCAGGTTGAGTAATCAAGCAATGAAAAATCAACTGTCATATATACATGCTTCAAAACTATTGCTCCCTCAGCTCCCTTCTCAAAATGCATCTATTGATTAGTTTTCTAATTATTTCTCTCTTCAGTTCCATTTCATAGTGACTTGTAAAATAAACTGGAAGACTGTACATGTATAATTGAATGCTTGTTCCACTTAAAGCTGCTGCTGAGTCTTTTCGGATGCCATTTTAATTTCAATTTTCCCTGATGGCAAACACATTTCAGAGCTTGGAGCGTATCACTTTTAAAGAATGATGTACTCACGTTCTGGGGTTGGAGCTTATAACAGGAATCGTCATTGAATTTGCTTTGTTCAGACCTTCAGCGCTCTGTGTAAATGAGGTACAAGCCTATCACTGATTTATTTACTTGTCTAAAATGGTTTGTCAACAGGGTGTTGGGGGAGTGGTGGTTGACATGGTGACTACCAGGCTAAGTCAGGTGCTGGTTGAATTTGAAAAAAAAACACGTTTTTTTCTTAACTTATTTTGGCCTTTTCATCTTATTTTGCCTTAGTGGTTTTGTAAATAATAGTGAAGTCTATGGTGAGAGGAAGAGAAGCATCTGGTTTACCTACAGGTTTCTGCATCCTTTAGATTAAGTCTCAGGGGTCATTTTTGTATCTTTGCTGTAAAAGTCACTGTTTCATTTTCTAACAGCCTTTGAGCATTCCCAGTTAACCAGCGGGGTTACTTGGGGAAGCAAGAATAATCTCTTTCATCTTAAAAGCCATCCAACCCAGCATTTCTGTAGAAACTTTGATGCTTGCCACCGTACAGATTCAGCACTGGGAACTCCGTGGACTTTTATTCTTTTATTTATTTCTTTCATTTATTTATTTATTTAACTTATATGCCGCCCACACTACCCGAAGGTCTCTGGGCGGCTTACAGCATTTAAAATACAATAAAAAGGCAAAATAAAAGGGCAAAATAATTAAAATGCAATTATTTTAAAAATTTTAGGTTATGTCTGAATGCAATCTTGTAAATCTGCTATTTTGTTCCATCTGATGTTATTTTAGTTCCATGTGTAAATGCAAGGGAATTACCCGTACAGTCGTGCCCCGCTTGACGATGACCCCACTTGATGACAAAATCACTGTACGATGACTTTTTTGCAATCGCTATAGTGATCACAAAGCAATGTTTCTATGGGTTTTTTTCGCTTGATGTCGATTTGGTCCCTGCTTCAGAACTGTTTTCTCGCTTGACGATGATTTTCCAGGCTTTGTAAAATGGCTTCCCTTCACAAAATGGACACCTTCCCTTCGCAAAATGGGTGTCTTCCAGACGGAAGCTTCGCATTACAGCGAATTAGAACAGCTGATCGGCGGTTCTCTATGGGCGATCTTTGCAAAACGAGCAGGTATTTCCCCCACTGGAACGCATTAACCAGTTTTCAATGCATTGCAGTGGGTTTTTTACTTTCGCTTGACGACAATTTTGCTGTACAGCGATTTTGCTGGAACGCATTATCGTCGTCAAGCGGGGCACCACTGTATAGCCTTTATATTTTTTCCCTCTGTTCTTATCTGGTACTGAATGAAGTTTAAATACATTTTCCAATTTCATCCCATTACTTGCTTAGGACTAGCCAACACAGTTGATGTATTTGGGAATGCCACTAAAAGATTTAACAAGTCATTTTTATTATATCAATTTGTTGTTAAATCTAAATAGAAAATTGTGAAAGCATGGAAAATAATTAGTTATTTTATAAGGAATAAAACTGCTTTTATTATAGGTTTAATCTAGCCTTAGGGATATTTTTAAAATTAGTAAGGTCAAATAGGCTGTGCCTGGTTGAAATTTGTATATTAGAAACAGTGGAGTCTATGACTACACGATGCACTCACAGCTACTTTACACATCTCTCTAGAAACTAACCAGTAGATTCTATAGCTGTTTGCACAAAGGATATAGAAAAATGGACTCAGAAAAAATATTTGAAGCATTGGAATGAAAGCTAGTGAACACTGTTTTGGAAAGACAGTGTGATTTAGGGGCATTTTCCTATTTTTGTCCAGTATGTACAATATATCTACCCTAACTAAGTAGAATATAATGTAACTGATTCAATTGTATTATTTCTTTCCTAGTCTGCAGAAGGCGCTGAAGGCAAGGATGCAGCAAAATTAACAAAACAAGAGGCAAGTGTGACTCCGTTGTTTGCTTTACATCATTTCCCACCCCTTTTTATTAATAGTGAAATATTAAACAAACACAATAAGGTTAGCTTCCCTGTGGCCATCGTCCAGCTTCCCTACTAGCCAGTTAAAGCAGTGGTCTCTCTGTATTTAATGGGGGGCAGTCCAGGAATGCCTGAAGTAGGCTGTTAAATCTCTTTCTCCAAACAGTAGAACTTGAGAAAGCTATTTTATGGATGTCCTGTCCTGGAATATCCTAGCCGTCATGGTCACTCATGTTTGCTGGGAGATTCTTTGAGTTTTCATCGAAAAAAGTGTTTTTTCCAAGCTGTGCGATACAGGAGCCCATATTCCTGGTCGAGAAAAGCAACAGCAATCCAAAAATGTATATGTCACAAGATAAAACATATTTACATAGATCTATTTTGCATTGTTTTGGAGGTGGAGGTGGGGTTGCTGGTATAAGTGGCAGAACAATAGCCCCTGATAGGATACTGACAACCACTGAAGCATAATTTCTGATTGCTTCAGCCCAGACTTGTTCAACTTCTGAAACTTTGACTAGCACCACTCACATAATCTTTGCAACAGTAAGAGCTGGAGGCATGGTTTTTGAAGGGAGAGAGACGGAAAGCTAAGATTCTGAGGATGCTGAATTTGGCACTAGATGCAAGTGGGCCTAGTGCAGATTCCAAAAGCGTGAGCTGGACCGTGCTGTAAATGGAGAAAATGGGTCTTGATAGGGAATTTTTGCCTTCACACCTCTGCTTCCAGCCCCCACAATGTAGAGGTAATTATATCTCATGTCAATATAGCATTTTTGAATGTTAACACAACTGCACACATACTATATTGGTTATCTTTTCAAAAATTCTTTAGGGAGGGTCAGCTTGATTGTCCAAATTGGGGGAGTGGGGGGTTGAGAGTGAGGCTGAGAGGTCACATTGTACCTAAAGAGCGTGAGCTGGACCGTGCCCTCAGCTGAGATATTATCTCAGCTGTAAATGGAGAAAATGGGTCTTGATAGGGAATTTTTGCCTTCACACCTCTGCTTCCAGCCCCCACAATGTAGAGGTAATTATATCTCATGTCAATATAGCATTTTTGAATGTTAACACAACTGCACACATACTATATTGGTTATCTTTTCAAAAATTCTTTAGGGAGGGTCAGCTTGATTGTCCTGTATATTCCAAATTGGGGGAGTGGGGGCATTTTCTTGAGGCTGAGAGGTCACATTGTACCTAAAGCACTGATGGCAGAGGTAAGATTTGAAATCTTGAGACTTCAGAGCTCATTGTCTTGGCCATGAACTGCAGAGTCTTTTAATGTATGCAGTCTGCTTGAACCCTTTGAACATGTCAAAAAAAATACAGATCCTGAGAACTTGATTCAGTCTGCCACAGGTTTCATTGTCCACGTCTAGAGAGCTTCCCATAGGCATTTCAGAATGTAGCTTTTTCTCTTTGATGCATGGGATCACAAGGCACCAGACCATTCTGAGAATGAGGTTATCCACAGGTCTTATTCCTGATAATGCCTGAGGCTGGTCCTACAGATGTGTTTGTATCTGTGTGCAAACGGGGAGGGGGAAGGGCCAGGTATTACCCTCGAAGGATCCCTCTGTGTGTGTCTGCAACAATAATAATGGAATGGACTGAGCCGTATTTTTAAAATCCTGGTTCTTCATTAATATCGATTTTCACACCTGGCGGGTGCAGCAGCAATCTGCGTAGAATAAATACAACTCTAGCAAAAGCTTAAGAGTACCCAGTGTTCAGTGCAGCGATTTTCTTTTTCTTGTCTTAAATCCCAAACTCTTTCTGTTGCATTTGAAGGTACCTACAAATGTACTGTGAGAGCTGGGATATTCTTATCTCTGAGGGCATGTCTGCTCTGCAAGTGAACTCATTTCCATCTGTCACAGTATTGGTTCATCTCACTGGCCGGCTGCTGAGACAGCATGAATGCAGGAGGCTGTTTTGCAGTGTTGGAACTGCCCTAGCACTGAGGGTCTGTGGGCAACCCCCCTCCCCATCTGTTTGTTTCTTTGTGCACATCTTAATGTTTCTGTGTTTCCCTGAAGAGTATATATGTGCTTTCTCCCTTGTGAGACCCAAGGCAGCTAACAAATGTGATTAAAAATAGGTGCAACTAAAAACCTTAATACATTCCTGAAGAGTAGAGGTGATGCATTTGCACAAAGCACATGTAAGGGGATTGAGTAAGAGCTACATGATGGGAATTGTTCCTGTTTCTATTGGATTTTTAAAATACAGCATCACCATTGCATTTGATCGTGAAGGAAACGACACATTCTTCCTTTAAAGCAGCGTTCAGCTACGGGAGATTGCACTTTGGAAACACACAGTATTTCTGTGTAGACGTTGCCAGTGGAACATTCAGATGCATTGCCATGCCCATCTATCACCAGCATCAATTGTCAAGGTATACCACTATAGGCAGGTGTAGGGAAGCATATGAAACTGAGTGGGGAAAAGCACATTGGCATTAGGCTCCCAAGAACGTAGGGCAATGGTTTCCAAACATGGGGCTGCAAATGTTCTTGGACTATGGTTTCCAGAAGCCCTAGCTATCGAGAGTCATCAGGGCCTTTGAAAGTTGTTGTCCAAGAATGCTTGGAACACTATGTTTGGAAATCACTGGTAACAAAACATGAAGGTGTTATGGAATGTGCCTCTCAGAGGCTTGTTATGTATGATTGTCTGAGTGCCCTTTTCCGTGGGCAATTTTTGTTTGTACTCATGGTGTTACATGTGATGCAGTTTCACATGCTGTTGCACCACACAGTCTTTCCTCCTTTTTCTTTGGGCAGAAGACTCAATCATGTGACTCATCCATCTATATGGCTATGTGTCTTTGCATATCTATGGGAGGAAAGTATTTTCATACTTCCTGAATGTGCTTATGGTGAGCCTGAAACCTTGGCTGGAACTGCTGGAACTTAAAAGAGATGCCCTCCAGACCATATTGTAACTGTTCTGTTCAAACATATTTGGAATTACTTCCAGTTCATAGGAGTTTCCTTCAGAAGACATGAGTCCGCGTGTTCCATCTTATTAACTAAAAATAGTTTAGTAGGCAAATACTTTTAAGTCAGAAGACTATATTTCAGTTGTAAGCTTTTGCTATTAAAAAAAAGTACAGACAAGAAATTTAATCATATCTGAATTAAAAAATAAAAAGAGCTTAATAGCCTAAAGGGCACATTGAAAAACAAAAGACAGAAAGTACCTCTCTTAGAATATCAAAGTTCTTAAAAGTGAAAAAGATGTAAAATAAAATGCAGTACTTGGCCTCTGAGCATAATATTAGAGCACAGAGAATAAATGATCATCAAAGTTTATGGAGGAAAATCCATGGTTGTTATTGTCGGCATCTGGAAATGAAACTTGCTGCTGCGCTGCGACGTGATTGTTTTTCTTTGATATCTAGTGCTCCAAATAGCATAAAGTTGTGATAATGTGACGAAAGCCCTCTTTGTTTGTCCTATCTCCACATGTTTATAAAACTTTTGAGTTTTTTTTCATTTTCTCCTAGCTATAAACAAATCTTATCCGCAGGATATACATTTCAAAAGATCCTAGAGATCCAATAAAATTTTATCTATGGAAAATTCTTTTGTACCCACAATCTTCATGACTCTAGGGGTCCATTAACGTGAAATAGAAATATGAGAAATTGTCATCTTACTGATAACATTTTTGTTATGGCTATCTATTTTTGCAAGCTTCCAGAACTCTCATATTCTGTGATTCTAAGCCCCTAGATGAATAAGACATTATTCAATATATTGCAATCACTGGTAGAGTGTGCTATTTGACTCGTAATAACTAAGGTATATTAATCAATTTCATTGATAAACAACCATTCAGCTATCAATTACATAATTACAAACTTCAGTTTATTTTTTACTTCCGTGCTAAAGTATCAGACACGAATGGAATTCTTCAAAGCAGTGTCATTAGATCATTGACCTTTTTCTCATGCTTAACTGGAAAACGGTGTGTTGATTTGAAAACAACCATATTTATCGTCATCATGATCACTGTCATCTTAGAACTGCAGAGCTGGAAAAGACCCTATGGATTGAGTGCAGTCCCTGTCAAGGTGGCCCAGTGGGGAATCAAACTCCCAACAATTCTCTAGAGCTGGTAGCTCTGGAGAAACAAAAGGGAGCTACACAAGAGCACGACCAGTTGAATGGGATTCAACTGGGACATGCTCATTGGGTCACTAGATAGACCCAGCATCCAAACTTGAAAAAGTTACTTTCTAGGGTCTACAACTTCCAGAATTACTGGGGTGTAGAAACGTTGCTGTGAAAATAAAATATTAATAGTTTATGACAGTTATAGTTCTTGGATAGCTCAGCCCCTGTCAAGAAGGCACAGTGGGGAATTGAACTGCCAGTCTCTGGCTCCACAGTCAGATACCTAAACTGCTATCCAACAACTATAATGTAGGTAAACTATTTCTCAAGCCATACTTTTAAACCATACTTTATTTTCAGAGCAATGTTTCTAGACCCTCTTTAATCATTTTAGCACCTTATAAACTCAAAATTTCAACTGTTCACAGGAGCAGCTTCTTTGGGCTGTATCAACACAGTTCTGTTCCCCCATGTTATTGTACTATGCAGAGCTTGCAATAATTGGTTGTTGTGGGTTTTTCGGGCCCTTTGGCCGTGTTCTGAAGGTTGTTCTTCCTACCATTTCGCCAGTCTCTGTGGCCAGCATCTTCAGAGAACAGCAGTAATTACCCTTTGGCCTACGAGTCCCAGAGTTCTATTTGGGCTCAGGAATTCTGGGAGTTGTACACCCAAGAAAGTAACTTTTCCAAGTTTGGATGTTGGGTCTGTCCAGTGACCCAGTGAGCATGTCCCACTTGAACCTCATTCAACTGGTCATGCTCTTGTGCAGCTCCCTTTTGTTTCTCTAAAGCTCCCTGCTAGATTGTGCCTTGTGATGTGTTCCAATGAAATCCATTTTGTAGCAGGAGCTGTTCACACTGTGAACTTAAGTAATGTTGCAGCAAATCTGGCTGATTTAGCTTTTGATATTAAAATTGGCGTTGACACAGTGGGCATTGTCATATAAGCAGTTGACTTGTGTGCTGTAAGAAAAGGCTTCTAGATCAGATGCTTGTGTGAATGTCTTTCTTTCAAAACATGACAGTTTGAAAGACAAGTTTTTAATTACAAGACCAAGTGTTTGAGATAATTAACACTGAATTGCCTCTCTTCTAAAGCATTTTAATTTTCTCTGCAGGGCATATTTGAACTTAAAAAGCCTGATGTTAATTGTGGAAATCTAGAAATGTAAAAATTTGTGAAGCATGTGAAAGTAGCTAGCCTGAGGACATAGGGGTACATGCTTGCATATTTGTTTGAAAGATAACTATATGGAAGAAGGGAAGTTTTGAAATCAGTAATAGCCATTGTATGAAGTGAAAGCAATTACCTCCGCTTGACATTGGCATGATTTAAGGTACGTCTACACTACAAACTTATAACAGCTTGATAATACCATAACTGCTACGACATCATCCTAAGGAGTCCTGGGATTTGTAATGTGGGAAGGTACTTAGCATTCTCTGCTCTCAATTCAAGTAGCTCGCCAGACTACAAATCCCAAGATTCTGTAGAAGGGACCCATGATATTTAAAGTGATATCACCCTGTAACTGTGTTGGGCAAGTATCCTAATAGTTACAGTATATGATTCTCTTTATCAGCTGGCTGGTTAGCTCAGTGAGTTACATAGACAGGTGACTGCAGTTCCCCACTGTGCTTCCCAGAAGAGCTAGTCTGTGTAACCTTGGGCAAGCTGCACAGTCCCAGATGGTTTCCCCAGAAGAAGGGAATGGCAAACCACTTTTGAGAACTCAGTACCTAGAAAACTTTGAAAAGAGTTGCCATAAGTCAGAATTGATGACAGGACACCATTATTACTTTTCTTCATCATTCTGACCCAGAGCCTAATGCACTACATTACAGTACCAGCGTGCATGTGCCAGGGTGGATTCAGTAAGGCTCTGTTGCTGTCAAAAAGGACAGAACAATATGCCTGTGCAAGACACAAGAGTGACAGTCCATAAGTGTGCTGTGCATTTGTATTAGCCCTTGTAAAATCTTTTCCACACTATTACACAATGCCTTCCACTAGCTTTTGAAAGACAGTGCCTAGAACAGCATCCAGCTCCACATACGCAACTCAACAGCAGATAACTCGGTTTAGAGAGAAAATAAGTTTTTGTAGTGCATTCCTGCACTCACATTGGTCTGGGGCATTGGGGGAAATGGATTGGCCACTATATCCAATTATGTGTTGTTCTTGGAAACGTGGCTGTAGCCCACCACTCAGAATGGGCAAAGAGGTCTTTCTGATCACATGTTGGGTCAATGGGAAAAGGAGAGACATTCCATCACAATAGCAAGTGTCCTATGGCTATATCTGGTGTGTTTTGTCTGACAAAGCAGGGCATATGCATTTGGATAATATAGTAGGGCTTTACCTAAGCCCAGTGCCCTTCGTTTTTTCTTCACAAGTGTGACTTCCATTTGTAGCAAGATCAAATTAGAAAAGCATTGAAATGTTTCATATTCCTAAAAGGTTATTCTAAGGATCAGATTACTAGTCAAGCACCTTTCTTCCTCTCACATGGCTTTCCCTCCAGGCATGCAGATCTTTCAAAGCTAGTAGGATAAGAATGGCAAACAAAACCATGCCTCTCTCCCAGTTACCAATTGCAGAATACAAGCAAGCTAATCTGTAGACTGATATGCATGGTGGTAGGTGACGGTGTTTTGCAAACCTCTAGAAACACATGCCCAATAACATCAGGAAGTTGCTATTCATGAGAATTAGGATCAAAACAGAGAATACATGAAGGTCTGTCTTTTTGGTGGAAGAGATATTCTAGTTCATAAGGGTTAGAACCTGCCACAGGTAGCAGACCGCTAGTCTCTGCTGAGGACAGTTAGACAGACGGTGGGTGGCAAGAGCGTGAAAGCCTACTGTCTTGTCTCCCGGAGACTGATATTACTAAAATGGGCCCATCATCTGCTAACTTTTAATCCAATTGTGACTTTTTGGTGGAAGAGATGTTCTAGTCCATAAGGGTTAGAACCTGCCACAGGTAGCAGACCGCTAGTCTCTGCTGAGGACAGTTAGACAGACGGTGGGTGGCAAGAGCGTGAAAGCCTACTGTCTTGTCTCCCGGAGACTGATATTACTAAAATGGGCCCATCATCTGCTAACTTTTAATCCAATTGTATTAATGTGACGGTGTTTTGCAAACCTCTAGAAACACATGCCCAATAACATCAGGAAGTTGCTGTTTATGAGAATTAGGATCAAAACAGAGAATACATGAAGGTCTGTCTGACTTTTTGGTGGAAGAGATGTTCTAGTCCATAAGGGTTAGAACCTGCCACAGGTAGCAGACCGCTAGTCTCTGCTGAGGACAGTTAGACAGACAGTGGGTGGCAAGAGTGTGAAAGCCTACTGTCTTGTCTCCCAGAGACTGATATTACTATAATGGGCCCATCATCGGTTTCACTGCCTATTAGCAAGCAGTGTATTCATGCACTGTTGAAAATGAGTTGTACTTTTGCCAATGGTGTGGTAGCAAATTATGAAATACAGGTGTTAACTGTGACAGTCCCAACAGTCATGGCCCAAAGAGGAAGTCCAAAATGCAGGCAGCTGTTCTGAATTATTTCAACTTGCCAGCAGTAGCTACTGTCATATCCACCAGGAGCAGTAGTTTTGTAAAGTTAATGGGATTTAATTGCCCATTAAAGACCAAGCCAAAATAGTGCCAATGTGGCGTAGTGGATAGAGTATCAGACTAGGACTCAGCATAGCTGGATTCAAATCCCCACTTGACTATGGAAATTCACTGGGGGGCTAGTGACTATAGGAAAACACTCTTTGAACATAGCTTGCAAAGCCTTTTAGGGTCACCATAAATTAGAAGCAGCTTGATGGCAGATAACAAAAGCCTACAGCAATGTATTGTTGCTGAGAAAATCATTCCCTCTGCCTGCAGCTATTGTGAGGAATGTAGCTAGTTTCAGAGGGAACAGCAGAGTGTCATGAGGGTGGCAGCATATTGTTAATTAAAAAGTTTTACCCTACCTGCCCTATTCCCTGGTCCAACCTTAGGAATCTTGGCTCCCTTATACTACTGAACTTCTAGTTCTTACCAAATCAGCCTTCTTCAACATTAAAGTTAAAAACACTTTAAAACATTTTTAAAGTGGCTAAATACCATAAAATACAGCATTAAGGGGGCTGGCACAGGCATAAATCCTTTAAGCACTGTCTTCAATAATATATACTGTAGCTACACTTATAGTCGCATCTTAAGAACCAGGAACACACATAGGTTACATCCTTTCCATGGCCTTCCTTTCCTTTGGCCCAAGGTAAGGTCAACATTTCCAGTTCACACAGTACTGGGGGTTGGGGGCGTGTTGAGGGGAAGCACTAATTCTGAGTCCACTCCTACATCTGCTTGTTGTGTGTGAGCAGGTAATTTGTCAGTGCCAAAGTGATCTCTTAGGTAGTTCCACAGTGCAGATCAAGCCCTGTCCCCTAAAGGCGAGTTTTCCCTTCCCACTCAATTGTACTAAAAGGTGTGTTTTTAAGTATCCACTGAGGGAGCTCCATGGGTAGAAACTTGCTTCCATTTATGGTTCACTGCAATGGTGCAGATGGGCAAAATATACGCAGTAAAGGTCACATAAATGACACAACCCTTTCTGATGTAAAAATTCATTTATACAAATGTTATCTGTTCTGTCTGTCTCTGTCACATTCAATGTCTCTCTCTCACACACACATTCTGTGACTTCCTTTGTCAATTTGCACCCAGTGATGTATCAAAATTCTTTTTATGTATCTCAGTTTTGATTTCCTCATATTTTCTGTACATGTCCACCACTCAGCAGCATTCTGTTACAACTTCTAAGCTTGTAGACTGCCCTCTTAACTGTTCAAAAATAACAATGAAGAACACTATGACATGTCTACATGGATGGCATTTTTACTGACTTTAATCATCTGCATCAAGACTTTAAATTCTAAAATGATCCAAGTTCTGTACCCAGCAAGTCTATTTTAATGTATATTGGTTAATGATAGAGTATGCAGATTTGACATACGTGCATTATTTACTGCATAATATTTGGATGTTCACAGAATATGGTATTTTTGTATTTACTAAGCATTGAAGGTCATATAGTGAATATTAGGGGACAACTGATACACAGGTTTCGGGTGGTATTTGTTTACTACATACCTCTGAGTTCAGCATATGAAATCATTACAATTTCCCTTGCTACAAGAAATGTCAACAATTGTGGAGGAGCAAACAGAAAGTTAAGATTCCAAAATGCAATAATCAAATGAACTTACTTCTAGACTAGTACACTGCAAGCATCTAAGCCAGAAATCCCTCGGGATGCATTTGGTAATAAAGACTTCTGTTGTCTTCCAGGTACATTTTATGTTGTTGGCAAATGATGACAGGTTTTTACATTGTGTGGATGTGAGCTGCTACAAATCTACAAAGATATTTTCTTTCCCTTTTATAGCCAACAAGACGATCTGCAAGATTGTTAGCTGTAAGTATTTGTAAGAGCTGTTTGTGTAAATATGAAGTCACATTCTTTCTCATTCCAGCCCATACAAGTTGACACTGGTCATGCCTGTGTGTTGATAGGTAAGGCAATGTTACCTTTCTTTCTTTCTTTCTCTCTCTCTCTCTCTCTCTCTCTCTCCCTCTCCCTCCCTCCCTCCCTCCCTCCCTCTTTCTCTTTCTTTCTTTTTCTCCATGAGGACCAGAGCCTGGAAGGGTTACTTCTTTGGACTAAAGCTTCTTGGATCCTCCAGCCAGCATGGGCACAGGTCATGTTGGTTGAGGGAGTCTTGGGTTGTAGTCCATAGATGTAACTCTTCTGTAATGCCAATGACTGCGTTCCCCAGAAAGACTGAATGAAAATAAAAAAGCCATGTGCTCCCTATACAAAATCCAAAACAAGGCTGGGCAATACCTTTATTGGACCACTAAACTATTAGGAGCAGATGAGCTCTTGAGTTTTGCAGGATCTTTAATCAGACTGGGCATTGCAAAACCTCAGAGGAGGAGAAGCAGAATATTTCAGAGATGTATCCTGGCCATTGCATTGTCAGGGACTTTGTGAAAGTATCTGAGGGTAGAGTCTTCAAACTTGTTGCATCAGTTTGAGGCATTTGGTTTTACCCAAGCCAGTGCAGGATGAACTGTCTTTTCCCATCTCTGTAGACAAATATTTTAGTGGTCCTATGACAGTATTACCCAGCTTGGTTTTTGGAATGATCAAGTGATATCCTACGTATGCTCCCCACTTTCCTAAGGAGTAGTAATTCAAGTGGCATGATTTATTAATTTCCCTTAAATCTGAATGTACTAGAGATTTTATGATATATTTACAATACTTTTTTCTGTCTACCACTATACAAGCCACACATGTTGGAAAAGAGTAAACTGTCTTTCAGCATGTATCAATACTCCTGGTCTTGGTTTGGATGCCAAGAGATTTCCTGTTCCAGCCAGATTTCGGGATAACCATAACACATCAGAGTCTTGCAGCACTTTAATGATGTTAATGTTTTATTGGGCATTGGCTTTTGTGGACTGTAGCCACTTCTTCAGATGCACACAATGGGCTGAAGTCCACAAGCGTTCTACCAAATTAAAACCTGTTTGTCTTTGAGATGCCACAAGACTTTTACAGTAGTTGTCTGTGCTGCTATATTATATCATGGGTACACCCTTGGAAATTTCTACACAGGAAACCATCCTAAGTTGTGAAAGAATATTAAAATTCATTTGTTGGATTTAAAATCCTCGATGACTCATCCTACGTTTATTCACAGTTATCCAGATGACCAGACTCTGTAATTATTGTGGCTGGGTAGTGCCTCATTTCCTTTACAGTACGGTAAGATATAGGCCCTGCAGATGTTTGAGAGTACAATTCCCATTAGCACTTAACATTGACCATACTAGGGTTTCAGAAAGTTGGAAGGATGAAGTTTCCAATTCCTGCTGTAGAGGAGAAAAATGCTCTGAGAGGTTGAGAGGAGGAAGAGGAGGAGAGAGAGGAGGTAGAGGGGTGGGGGAGAGAGAGACTTAGACAGACAGACAACTAATTCAGATTATGACTGCAAGGTTTCCTTGCAATATGTCTGTAACAAAGATTAGTGATACTTGGTAGGAATTGAGCTAACTGTTGGATTCTCTGAAAATATTTCCTAGAAACCAGTTCCGCCAAAACCTGAGCCTAAGCCAAAGAAAACCACTAAGGTAAAAATTGCGCATTCTAACTCAAGTTTCTTTACTATGCACTTTTTGTTGTTTCCATATATCAGTATTTCATCTTATTCAGTTTACTAAACATGAGCTTAACTAAGGCTCCAAATCATTATTTGTGGAGAAATAATTACACCTTAAAGCAATAAAACTACATTTATGCTTAATTCAAGAAAAGTCCAGACGAAAGGACTGTCAATTCCACATAGTTTCTTTATAATAATAATGTTGTAGGATGGCAGCCTCAGGTTACTGTCACATAATATATTGTTATCAGCACAGACAATTTTAACATTCAGAGATAAAAACAAAATGGCTAACTTTGGAAAGTAGTATCTTCCTCTAAGAAAGATTATATATGGACCATATGCTCTATCTTGTACGCATGATGTTTGGAAAATTAATTAGTCACAAATTTTACTTCACAAATACAGTATCTTAACCATCTTTACTGCTGATGCAAGGATACATTTGATTTGATATTTAATTTTTTTTTCATGACAACCAACAAAACATCAAATTCCCAGAGGATAAAAAATAAAGTGGAGTCTCTGGAGATTAATTATTTTACCAAAGTATTTTCCATCATATTTAGCTTTCATGAGCAGGAGTATTACAGCCTGCTATATAGGCAGACTACCCACAAGCACAGTGAAGTACTGTACCTCACTTTCCCTGGGAATGCCAAGAGTAGAACCCGTTTCCCATTTGGAACACCACCTAACCTCCAGTGAAGAGGAAGGAGCAGGCCTGAGGCCTGCCTTGTCGGGGGGGGGGGAGAGCAGAACATACTGATGCAGATGCGGTATATGGCTAGTGTGTTGGAGTAGGACTGAGAGACTCAGATTCAAATCCTCACTCAGCAGAGATGTTCCCTATGTGTCCTTGAGCCAGTCACTAAGTCACAACCTAATCTATATCATGGCAGATTCTTCTGCTGGCAGTTCCCCTTCACAACCTTTGCTCTCTACCATATTTTCCTGGCTAGTTGAGGAGCACCCTGGCTCTTTCTAATCCATTCACAGTGAACTGGGTTAAGGGTAAAACAGCATGGAGGAGGTCTTCAAGAACAAAAACCTGACCATTGTCCCATAGGATTCATTTTCAGAAACCTTTTTATTCATAGATGCAATTAACAATAGCTTAGGATTTACAGAGACAAAAACAAACAAAAAAAGAACATATAACGGGGAGGGAAAGTAACACACGTGCTATCATCTTCAGCTATACTAACACATGCCCTGGGACTATGGACAATGTCATACACCTGCTGTGTGAAAAGAGCCCATGCTTTGATTGAACCCAGTACTCTTTCTGTGGCTGACTGCCACTCTCAGTTGTCCTTTCCAGCCTTTAGTGAGGCTTGTGCTCTCATCTTTCCATGGTCCTACCTTTTTTCTGCAACAGGAGGAATCTCACCTGATAGACATAGTCTTAGACTAAGCCTGCCATATCACTTTGGTATACTTAATTCAAAGTTTAGGATAAAGTATGGTGGAGAGCTGTGTTTCACCTAGAGCTTCTGGGGAAGAAAGCCAGGACATACATGAAATACAAGAGTGGACATGACACAAGATATAATAATGATGAAACACATAAAAAAAGAGAGCATTTTATTGTATAATTTTATACTTCTCATTACTGTATCCTTAGTCATAATCAGATATAGAATCTAATTCGGGGAGGAGCAACTGTGAACCTCTAGATAATGTTGGACTACAACTCTCTTCTTTGGCTTAGCCAATGGGAAGCGAGGGTGGGAACTTAGGGCCAGTAACATCTGGAGAGCCATAACTGCTCATCCCTGAATTAGATCCTTACGTGAAGTGGTTTGGCTCAATAAAGGTTTCCATTGCCTTTCTATGTATTCTCAAAGGCTTTCATGGCCAGGATCCATCGGTTGTTGTAGGTTTTTCGGGCTGTTTTGGCCATGTTTGTGAAGATTTTTCTTCCTAACGTTTCGCCGGACAGGGTTCTGTCCTCTGAAGATGCCAGCCACAGAGACTGGCAAAACATTAGGAAGAAAAACCTTCAGAACATGGCCAAACAGCCCGAAAAACCTACAACAACCATTGCCTATTGTTCACAAGACTTCAATACAGCTGTTCATGACAGGACCTTTTGAAAGTCCATTCAGAAGGTTGCCATCAATCAGAAGTGACCTGATGGCACAGAACAACAGCAGTCTCCACTGATCTCTCTTTGCCATCCCCAGCAACACCTACCTACCTAGTTACTCTGGCTCCAGAACATTCGGGGAGCTGGGAATGGGACCTTTGGGAATGCAGGGGAAAGAGGGGCTTGGCCAAGATGGCCTCTCCTTCCATTCTGCCAACTGGACTCCTTCAAGTCTCCTGCAGACATGAGCCTTTCTGTCATCAGGAGGCAGATTCTGAACCCAGCCCATTGTCAGTGGGGGCAGTCCATGGTAGTTGTAGGCTACAGCCAGGCTGTGTTACCCTGGATAATTGATTTTCTCTCCAGGATTCACCTTTATTAGCTGCTTTAATCCATGCTACAATAATTACTCGGGTAAAACAACATCTGTTTACAATCTGCAAGATTTAAAATACCACACAATATTTTGTAACATTTCCAGAATATTTCCTTTGGACATGCTATCCAAAAAATAGGCCCAGTAGTTAGCTTTTATTTGTCTCGTGCAGATTAACTGGGTTCTGGGAGAGATGTTACAGTTACCGGGAAATGCTCTGTGTCTTATAATCAATCTCTCTACATTTGATCTGTTATCAGAAGGAGCTTGGAACAAAGGCTAGCAAAGGTGCTAAGGGGAAGAAAGATGAAATGCAGGAAGCCACAAAGGAAGGTACTACACCATCTGAAAATGGGGAATGTAAAGCTGAAGAGATACTTGGTACACAAAAGTTGTGCTGATTCTGTGTGCTTCATAATTCAGTTTTTGAGCCACTGACACATATTCATAATATTTTTCTTGTATTGCCCCATGATATTATTACAAATTCATCTCTGTTGCTCAATTGTTAACGTGTTTCGGCATCCAGAGGTGCTCCACCCAATATACTGTCAGTAAAAGGACAGTTTGAAATAGTGAAAGTTAAAGGGATGATACAGTATTGTGTATGTGTGCAGGTGGTGTGGGAATGTTGAAAGCTGCCAAGTAAGGCTTCTGTGTTTTTTTCAGATCAGGAACAAATACTTTTAAGAGTAAAGCAGCCCCACCATCTGCTTCATTAAACTAGCTCTGGCACATAATGAAAATACAAGACTCATAGAGCAGAAAATAATGTTGGGAAAAAATGAAGGTGGCAGGAAGACCAAATATAAGTGGATTGGCTCAATTCAGGAACCCATGGCCTTAAGTTCATAATAGCTGAGCAGGGTTGTTAATGACAGGACCTTTTGGAGGTCACTAATTCATAGGGTTACCATAAGATAGAAGTGATTTGATGGAACATGATAACCACAGCATGAAATGAGCCTTTAAATACCTGTAGCAAATGGTAAGATTCATAGTGTTAGAAGTTTTTTGTTTGTTTGTTTTAATCTGAAGTGATAGCTGTGTTGTTGTTTTGAGTGGGAGGGACATGTTAGGCCACTGTTTCCCAACCAGTGGGTTGTGACCCCTGCGGTAAGTGTTTTCTCTGGGGTCATGTGTCACCTTATATATCTTGTAGCCCTTGTTAAATAATTTCTTCCTTTTTTGAGAGGGATATTAAAATTAGTGTGTATGTATAAGTATGAAAAACTGGCCATTTGGAGAATAAAGAAGCCTTTACTTTCTGAGAAGGAGTGGCTTTACCCCATGAAAAATAGCTTTTCATGCAAACATGGGGAGGGGGGGCGCAGGTTACTTGGCTCTTACAAAAGGAAGTCATAAATCAAAAAAGTTTGGGAACCACTGTGTTAGACTAACATAACCTTTTTTCTCATTACTTTTTTTAACAGGCACAGAAAACTGAATTAGTGAATGACAAGTAAGAGTGACCTGAAAGGAAGATTAGAGGATGATTTTATGTACCTCTGGACAACTTTTAAGATATATTTTTATCAAGTATTTTGTAAATGCTAATTTTATAGGACTTATAACAAGGTGACAACCTGTATATAAACATTTCTTCCTTCCATATTCTATTCATGCTTCTGAAGCTCAAAAATGTTGCCGGGTTTTTAAGAAATCATCAGCGTCATATTGGAGAAAGGGTTTGGAAGAGTGGTGAAGCATTCTGTATATTCACTTTCTGAAAAAAAGTTTCGTGCATTTAGTGATTTTTCCCCCCTTGGGTTTTTGGATTTTCCTTGCAGTTTTTTCTAGAGCAATAATCCACAGTGCTTTTGTACTTACGATTTATGCGATTTCAATGAAATATGTATACATATGGCCATCTGGTGACTGTATCAAGTTCTTCTCATTTGTTCAAAATAGCAAACTCTTGCTGCCAGCAAATAAAATTCCCAAATATTTTCTCTACATTGTGGGTTTTGCCTTAAAGATACCTAGCTCTTATTAATAGGATACTAAGCACATTTATTTACAAGTTGTGTCCCAGTGATTTCAAGATCATGATCCAGGCCTGTGGAAGTTAGTGGGAATTACTCTACATTCTAAGCATGTTTACTTGGCCCCAGGGTTTACTATCTAGGGCCAGAGGGCTTAAATACTAAGTATTCCATCAAGGTAGTTTTTAGCTAAAAGGCTTTATTTTCCCCAAGGATCATCAAAGTATGCATTCATAGTTTACATATATTTTTAAATGCTGCACAATGTGTGGCTGATTGAGGTTTAAATGGGCCACCAACCTTTCACTGTGGCCTGGCAGGAGTTTCAGAATACTGATTTGTATTCTTATACACATAGCACTCATGCAACACTAGAATGTTTACTGAGCCCTGGTGGACTACAACAGATGCGAGTGGATCTCATATCATGCAGGTCTTGCTTTTGAGAAAAAAGGTCTAAAAATGTCTTATACTGGCAGATTATCTTTCCAACATTGTTTCATGTTATTTTAACTTAAATAGGCTTTGCAGAACTATGAGAGCAAAAACCGAACTAGAAAACACAATCTCTTTCTTTCTTGAGAGATACAGAGGAAGATCTTTTATTTCATACCTCCCTCTCTTAAACATAATCCACTATCCACTCCATGTAAATGTCTAAGACTAAAACAGTGGTTGAAATCCTGTTGTCATAACTTATGCTGCTTAAGGCTGATGACATCAGCAAAGATTTTTTTTAATTAAACATTTCCAGCTTCTCATGCTGTTCTTTAAGCCCTTTCTTCATTGGGAATCTGTGGAATAGGAAGGGACAGTTTTTAAATATGCAGAAATCACCACCTTTAATAAAATCACTCTACCAGTAGCAATTTTCAGTAGTTAGATACTTCCCTTTCTCATCCCATTGTTTCTATGAGTTCCCAATGATGAAAGGGATTACAGGAGCTTCAGAAGAAGTTTTGGAAATGTTTATTTTCTGAAAAACTGCTGCTACTGCTGCTGATGTCATTTGCCTTATGCAGCATAAGTAACAAGATTGTCACCAGTAATTTTCAGTCTTCTTCATATGTAATGTACATGTGTCAGTTTCTCCAGCTTTTCATAGCCCTCCATGCAGTCTCCATCTTGCCACTGCACACAAACCAGAGATTCTCTGATGAAACAAATTAGGCTTACCCTTGTGCAAAGAGGTATGGGATAGATAAACTGGGAAATATATGAACCATTCACACAACAGACCATTACAGGAGCAGAATGAATGAAGAGGATTCTGGGTGATGTGTGGTACTTGGTAGAGATGAAGTAGAAAAGAGACTATGGTTGCATTCAATTATTTCAGTTAATTATCTAATAACCATGTCAACATGCTTTAGACCATTATGAGCACCTAGTCATTTTCCCCTGCCTTTTTCTCCTTTTTGCCTGGAACCTAAACATTTGAATTGTTTGGAGGATGGGAAGGGAAAATATTTCTTGTCATTTAGTAACATTAATTTTTTGTTGTTGTTGCACTAGTGGACATATTGTCTGGGGATATATGCATGTTTCAGTCAATAAATGAAGTTATTATTGCTTAACTCTAGTGTATTTTTTATTATTTGGCAAAATTGTACCACCTGCATCCTGCTACTTTGAAAAATATTATTTCTTTTCAGCAGCTTATCTTTTAAGCTGTACTGTACGCACGCTGCAGAAGCAAAGGCAGGTTATAAAACATAACAAGCATATATCTTAGATAGACATCTGCAATAAATATGGTGCTGTGCATAAAAAGCTAAATATATTATGTCATCATTAGTCCTTATCTGAACATAAAGACCTTGTGCCTCGGATGGGGCTTTGAACAAAATCCAGCTGATTTCTTTCATAGAACAAGTCCTAGCTAAGCATATATTGTTGCCTTATGATTTGCTTCCTAGAGTGCAGCCCTATTGACTGTTATTTCGCTCCATTCGCCACAGTTTGAATTTCTAATACATGCACACTAATGAATTTCTTTGCAACATCCCTTTGATGTAGGAAGGTATTATTATCCTCCATCTAACAGATAGGTAATTAAGACACAAGAGATTTATTGCCCAATCCTTAAAAAGCTGTTCTGCCAACAGAAACTAGAGGGACTGGAGCCTGCATCGACTGAAAGCCTGGAACAGAAGACTGTTAATGCTTTGGACAAATTAAGAACTGACTCGAGAGCTTCCATCTTCTAGCAGCGACACCTTTCTATGCTTCTCTCCTTGTTCTGTTCGCAGGGCTCATTTACTTTAATTCACCATTTATGAACCTCTCATTGTTTGTCCATCTGTCTTACCATTTCAAACAATATAAGAATATACTGACAATTTCCTGAACTGATAAATCACTATTGGATGATCAGTTTGATTTCATTTGATTTACATAGTGTGAGTTACTTCTCTCCCCCCCCCCAAATAGATATTTTATAGGTAAATGCCTGTAATCCTGAAGCATTAGAACATCAATGCATGTAATGAATGGAATGGTTCATCTGTAAAATACTAACTTAAATGTGTGTGGTGCTTGATGGCCATTGATATGAAAGACACCTCTGGCTGTAGGTACTAGGACAGTACCTACAACTAGAGTAAGATTTCCCATCACCCAAGAAGGGCTGAACCAAATTGGGGACTATATGTTCTTCAGCTACTAGTTAACACTCTTAATTCATCAGCTATTGAATGTGTAAATTTTGTCTCATATATGTCTGATACAGGGATTGCCATGTTCTTTTGTGCCTTAGTTTCCAGCCAAACAGAAGCAATATGCTTCAGTATAAAGCAATGGAAAGGATGCTGAATGAATGACAGGCCTTTGTCTACTGAGACTGGGGATGCGACCACACAGGCGTTTGTCCTGATGTTTATCCTGTTTGCCTCACTGATCATTTTGAGATTTTCTTTGCTGATTAAATAACATTGCTACTTTTGAGTAGATCTGATTTGTTCATATAAGAACCACGTATATTTTGTTCAGCTCCCAGTGCTGCTTTTGTTGTTACTATGTTTCCTCAATTCTTTTTTTCATTTCTTTCTTTTTTTTTTTTTTTGGAATTCTATTCCACAATCCTTCTGGAACATAGCTAGCTGAGCATATCTTGAGAACATAGACCAAAACATACACAGTGAGGTGTGGTGTGAAATTGAACATTTTTGGTTTTTTCTTCCCACTAGTTTGCTGTCAGTAAAATAATTTTTCTTTACATTTCTTAAAAATAGTCTACAATAATTCTAGTGCTCCCTCACCATATTTTAAACAAGTTTAGTACTATACTAATAAACCACTTTGACACTATTTTAGTTATTAAATTTTGAGGGACTTTGAATCAAGAGGTATATGCAATGAGAGCATAAAATACATGTACAACAAACACTTTGGAGAAAGGATGCCTGAAAATTACACTTTTAAGCAGTGGTTGCTTTCTTTGTCATTTCACACTATACTAATATAGTGCTAAGCCACTTCCACCCTATATATTGCTTTTTTAAGGACACTGAATTGAGAGTTACATGCAATGGAAGCATGAAATATATGCACAACAAAGATGGTTGGTAAATCATGTCTAGAAAAATTAAGTGAAAGGATCGTTCCAGTTCAATTTTTGCAACATATTGATATACTACTAAAATGCTTCAGCACTATATTAGTTATTTTTTTAAAAAACTATGTTTAATCAATAGGTATATGCAACAAAAATCTTGCAAAAGCCATGACTAAAACCTGTAGCTTATATTCACTTATGCACCAGGGGACATGGTAGGCAGGAACAAGTTGTGAAGGGCAGAGAAAAAAGTGGTAATATTGGCAGGAGGGTGACAGGTAAAGAGAACATTTCTCTTTTATCTCATATATGTCTGATACAGGGATTGCCTGTATCAGAGAGAAATGTTGTTGCTCTATCTGTGTGTGAACAGTTGAAATGCTGCATCCTGAAAAGAAACATTAATATGTGAATCATTCAATTCGTGTGGCCAGTAGGTATACAGTACATGAAGTGGAAATCAATACAGAACACTGTCTGGTTTAACCCTGAGGAACAGTGAAATTTATATCCCCTGAGGTGAACCTACTACCTCAGACTGATTATACAAGGCTGTAGACTGCATTTTGGAACTTATTTTAAATCAGAGAGCCTGGCCTCAAAATCTAATCAAGATGTTTTTTGGGGGGACTTCTTTCTGTTCTGTGCCCAGCCTCCCCATCCCCAATCCTGAGAGACCTTGAAGGAAGGACATGGTGTCTTTTAGTCTAATTCTCTATTCTCGAAGGAGGGGGAAATGGTGTAACCTTATTTAGAAGGTAGTGCATTTGTGAGTGGGGTAATAAAGGTATCGCTCATTTCTGGATTGTGTACAAGGACCACAGAACATTTTTATTATTGCATTGTAGTCTGTAGATTTGGTCATGTGGCTGCTTTTCCCCCCCTAAACTTTGTACTCTTAATTTATACTGTGCATATTACAGCTACCTGCTCCGTAGCTCAAAAAAGACAGATCAGCTCTATTTTATTCATGTGGGGGAAACTGCCACCTCCAGACACTCATCTTCTCCTTGTTTGTGATCTCTGCTCATTGAATGGGGAAATGCAGACTTCAAAAGTCTGTGCTTGGTAGGGTCCCATGCAATTGAAATAAGGTCAACTGTGGGTCCTGATGGCAACTTTTAGAGTATATATTTTAATTGTTTTATCTTTTTTTACTGTATTTTAATTGTAAGCTGCCCAGAAACCTTTGGGTAGTGTGGGTGGCATATAACTTAAATAAATAAATAAATATGAACTCATCTCTGCACTTTCTCCTTGTATCTTGATTCGATGTGGAAGAATCAATACCTAAACATTGGTATTGACTGCTCCTTTTCTGAAGGCATAAGCTAGAAGTGCAAGATTGGAATATTTATTTATTATGTTTACATTTGGCTTTTCTGCCAAAGCCCTTGGAGGGTAACATTTAAAATAATGGCTTGTATTCAAACTAGGGTGAGTGTTAATCAGGGTATACTGGTACATTATTTGCAATGAATCACTGAGGTTGTTGTTTTTTTCATTCCCAAGTGTTTGACAATAGCAACAATAAAACAACTTTCTACAAATGCTAGGCTACCAAAATGGAAAATTGTTGAGTGTGGTGACAGGGAGACCAGGTTTACAGTTTTGTGTGGAACTATGTGTTCAGCATATTAAGAGGTTTTGATGGGAGGGACTTTGGATGAATGTCAATCACTTAAACAATTGTTTCTCTCTGAAACTTAGTTTCTTATTTCCTGTCTTTTTACCTCAGGCAGGGCTAAGTGTCAGTTTAGCAATGGTAGAATCTGTTAGTGTTTAGTAATGTGGGGGTTCTGAGACAGGATAGCTACATCAATGTTCTCTGAGTGTTTATTTAACCAGTGAGTTACTGAAGAAACTAATTAAGCTAGCAAGTTAAGCTACCATAATATGTAACCAGTGAATATTGTATGTTTTTGTTTGTATTCTGACACGAAGGTTTTGTAAGTAAAAAACATTAATTTGTATTCTTTCTACATCAAGCACCTCTGACTATTTATATTGAGACTATGCCAGTTGAAGTAAAGTGAAGACTATCTAAATAAAAACTATATCATAAGGGGTGAGGTATGTGAGGGAGACTTGTAAATTAAGACATTAATCTGCTCTGTTGGTCTCCGTCTGGAAGCTTTTCAATTTTTTTTTGCCAGCAATCTCCACACATACCGTCCAATAGTTGATACAGCTGTAACCAACAAAGTGGGGGCGATTTTCTACCATTAAATGTGAATGGTATAATTTGTTCTGAGGCTTTGGGTGACTGGGAGGTGCCACCTGGACTTGAAAACAATCCTTGTTAGTAAACATAGGACAAACAAATGTCTATTGCTATGTAAAAGGACTGGACTGGTCTCTTGGTGCTGATAGGAAACCATATTCTAGTAAAGTACAGAATGTGGACATTAAGAGCCATACCTCAGAAGAAAACAAATATTTCCAGCTCATTCTAAAGTTACAGTGTTTTCCTATCTTCAACACCATTTCTAACAAAGATTTTGTTTTGTGTTTAGGTAAATGTAGCATAAGGAGGAACTCTTTTGGTATGTGTACAATCTTAGTCTACTTCCCAAATCCCTGGCTGTGCTGCTAAGGGAACAAGATGATGGTGGGCCTGCACTCCATCAGCTGCCTTCCTAATAAGGGAGCAGGTGCTGTTTATCTGCCTTAAGAGTTTGCATCTCTGCTTTACTGCCTGAAATAAGTCTCTAGCCAGACACAGTAATGTTTTCAATCTGGGAATCACTAGGGAATGGAAGTTTGAATGCGACTGCTTCCTCATCAGTGGTTTGGCCTATTTTTAACTAGTTAAATAGAGACTTATAAGAAAACATTACTTCTAGAGGGGTGGCCATGTTAGCTTGCCATTGCAAAAACTAAGGATTTAGCAGCCCTTAAAAGATTGCAACAGGCTCTTAAAAACTGCAGCTGAATGAATCTGATGAAGAGGGCTCCATTCCATGAAAACCTTTGCCACAATCTAGTAGAGTTTGTGCCAAGTACAAGTTGCAGTCTTTT